AGTTCCTACAACGACGGCGGCGATCCCTCGCCAACGTGCCGTCGCGGCCACGATTCTGACGACGACGACGAAGAGGACGGCGGCGAGAACCGCGCTCGGGCGCGGCCGCGGGGCCTTCCAGCCCCTTCTCGAGCTCGGGGCGGTTGGCGTCGTACAGCGCCTCGGGCCGCGCGGAGCGAGGCCCGCGCAAGGCTGAAGGCCCGGACCCTCCCCCCAAGGGCCCGCCCAGAGTGGATCGTGGGGCAGGCCCGGTCGGCCTGCAACACCCGTCGGCTGCGGTTCACGCCTTGACGTCCGGCGTGCGAGGGGGAGGAGGGAGGAGGAGGAGGAGGAGGAGGATCAGGAAGAGGAGGAGAAGCAGAAGGAGGAGGAGGAGGAGGAGGAGGAGGAGGGCGAGGAAGGAGGAGGAGGAGGAGGAGGAGGAGGGCGAGCACGGGGCGGGGGAGGAGGAAGTAGAGGAGTGCAGGAGGGTGGGGAGACAGAGGTAAGTTGGAGGAGGATGGGAAGAGGAGGAAAGGAAGGAGGAAACAGTGAATGAGGATAGCTTGGAGAGAGGTAGAGGTGGATGAGGAGAAAAGGCGTGAACGGGACGAGGGCCCCTCGAGGGGGAGCAGAAGTAGACTAGTGTGAACCCAAAGCGCGTCAAAGATGTTAATAAAATCCCTCCCTTCAAGTTCCCTCCTCGTGGACGCATACAAAGATATGTGTTCATGGCGGGAAACGCTCCATTGAAAGGCAACCATCTGCGAATCCCCGATCATGCCAAAACACCATTCCCTGGATTTCAAGACCGCTATCAACGTGACTGCTGTATCCTGACAGTCCTGGATCGCGCTAGAACACAATCCGTGGAACTTCGACACCACGAACCCGCGTGGCTGTTGCGTCCTAACAGTCCTCAACCATGTCAGAGCAAAACTCCTGGGACTTCAACCCCACAAACCCAAGAAACGGCTGCGACCGGTTAGGACGAATGCGCGCGGCATGAAGGCGATTCTTGAAACTGCTGCAAGAGTTCACACCATATGTGCGCGGCGCTGAGGCGAGAGCCACATGTTGAAAAGGCCCCGCCTTACATCCTCGCAGTAGTTGCAAACTTCGAACACCAGGACCATTAGTGGTGTGGAAATCTCAAACGAAACGCCCAACCCGCCCTACCAACCCGCCTGGAGGTGCGACAAAGATGAATAAGTCAGAACGAACAAGAATTGAGAAAACGGATTGGGAAAAGGGGGACGGAAAAGGAGGGGACGGCACGGCGGGAGGAGGGGGAGGAGGTGGAAGTTTAAAGGGGAAAGCAATGGGAGGGAGATAAAGAGGGAGAGGGGGGAGGAATAGCGAGGAGGGAAACATTGGGTGAGGAGGATGGGAACCACGAGAAGTGCGATGAGGAGGAGAGGAGGAGGATGAGGAGGAGGCGGAGGAGGAGGAAGAGAAGCAAAAAGCGAGGGACGACGACGATGAGGACGTAGAGAGGTGTAAGGGGGGAAGGTAGGGGAACGAAGGGGAATAAGAAAGTGAAAGGAGGACCATTCGCCTGGCCGACGAGGTGACAAATTGCTCGCCCGATTCAACTGCATCTGCATGGGCCCTGCTCATATATCTGATCCCTTCCGGTGATACCCGCTCGTGCGTTTTAATCCGCCCCACATGTCTGGGTGGAGGAATTGGGGAAAAATTGTAGAAGTCGGCGCCCCTGTTCTGGATCTCCCCGAACTCCCCCTCGGTCACGCAGCCGCTGCAACCTTGCCCCCGCTGGGCCACGGGGGCCGTTAAGCGGCTTAGCCAATCAGCCACTGTGCTAACGGCGATTGACATGTGAACGACCGTCAGGCTTGATATCTGAGCGAGATCCGACGTCGCCCCCGCATTGGCCGCCATGAAGTTCAGGACTTTGCTCGGGCACGGAAGATTTTGCGCCGCACCCTGTGCAGATATGGAATCGGCGCGGAGGTCGAGGGTGTCTGCAGCACCGTTCTCTAAACATTTGGCCATGCTCTGATACGGACAAACATCGCCAACAATCCAGAAACTGCATGCGCAGTGGACGAGCCGACGGCGACCCCCAGCTGCGCCACATCCGCGGTGCTTATAATTCTGCAGCAATGTACTCGGTAATGACGCCGGCGCTGTCGTCGAACAGCGCAACCCCGATGCCCCCAGGAGAGCCACCTGTGGTGATCGAGAAGCTGGACAACCCCGGGTGCAAGCAGACCTCGCGCATCCCTGCGACGCGGCAGCCTTGCCAGACAGCGAAAAACAGGGTAGGAGCCAAGCGTCCTCTCCGAACGTCCACAAGGCGGCCCTTCGGCCGGTGGCCCCGACGCTGAGTTCGTCGCCTCTCTTCTGTCTCGGACGCAACGTCACGGGCAGCAGAGGAAACGACTGCACACAGAATGTTGACAGCCCTCCCGGCACTGGGGAGGACCCCTGCTGCCCAGGACAGTTTGCCGACCAGCTGGCGCAGCCTCCAGAGGCCCGTCACGCTGGCCGCGCTGCAGCAAGAAATTTCCGCGGTCAGCTCGGCAAGTAAATTGTCCGATACGGTGCGCCACTTAGTCTGGTCAATCAAGGCCGCCGAAGTATCGATGGGCACGCAGATCCACTCCACGAGGGCCCCCATCTTGCCAATGCCCCAGGAGAGCGACGCCCAGAAGGCAAGAAATGTGCAGTTTCCCATAGCAAGGCAGAATCTCTGCGAGGGCGGCGACCCTGCAAGGGCCCACATCGGGCCGACCACGCACAGCTGTAGGCGGGCCTTGCCCAGGACATGCACGCATCGGATCAGCCGGGCCATCGCCGACGCAGGCCGCCCCTACAGCAGCGGCGCGGATTTTACCCCGAACGACATCATGGCCCATACCATGACAACTGCTGAGCGGCAGCCCCAAGTCAGACAGCGCTGCGACTCGGCAAGAGGGGCATGGGAGTATTCACAAGCGCCCCGCATGCCTACGGACGCCAACATCAAGCTGTTCTCTATCGCCAGCGCTGCCGGGATCATCGCCCGGAGATCGCCGATGACGTCCGCGACGCGCGGGAGCGCCGCCCTCTCTTGGACCGCCGCTCCGGCGCTCTGCCCGCCCCGCAACATGTCGATGATGATGCGGCGCCCCGCGCCCCCGTCGCCCACCTGCTTCAAGATCAGGGCGAGCCTGGCAACGGAACCATCCAGAAAGCGTTACAAGGCCTCCGCCTGATCGAAAATGAAGAAGAAACCTCTCCACATCCAGCCTGTCAAGCTCCGCTGCGGCGTCCACCGGGCTGTCGTCGAGGCTCGAATGGTTGCCGACCCCAGACGACAGGGCCTCCCCCAGCGCCAGCATATGCCTGCACGCTCCGCAAGAAGCACAAAAACACATTGAGCAATCACCTCATCGATGCCGGGCGGGGCGCCTTGCTCCGCACATTCCTGGGGCCCGCTCTCCGCGTCGCTCGCGGCCCCGAGCCGCGCCTGTATGAGAGCGCCCTGCAGGGGGGGGGCGCCATGTCGACGACGCCCAGCGCGTCCGGCCGCTCATCCACGAAGGCCGAAAAAGCCGCCCGCGCCGCCGACCCAGCCTTCGCAAGGCCAAGATTGAGACTTACGGCCCGCACAGGACAGCGCACGCCACCAGGGAACTCGCGGCCCCCCAGCCCCCTCACTGCTTTGCGCGACAGCTGGCCAGCATAACCAGAGGGCGGCGGCGGCTAAGCGGCCGCCAGCGAGACCGCCCGCGGGCGCGGGATTCCCCGGGCCAGCATGCACTCCCAGGCGGGCCCGCTCGGCTCGGATCGCGAACTGCCAAACCCGCGCCACCAACGCGCTGCTCGCGCGGCGAGCGCTGGCACGCGCTGCCGGTGTGCCTCGCGTCCGAGAACGATTGAACACATGAAAGACGCCCCCCGCCCCCCACATCGGGAACCTTAGACGAATGGGACCGTCAAACGACGCGCGAACTGAGAGCGGGAACTGATCGACGGTCAGCCAACGACAACGCCGCGACATTCAATGCGAACGGCGCGCTGCTGCCATGCTCATTGGCGCTTGAACTTGGCGTTTCCTTTCGCTGGCACGCGGTCCATGTCCAAAATCATCGGACATTCGCGCGCTCGTGCCAAGGCATAAACCAATGGGCGCGTCGGCCCTTGGCGGCGCCAACAAGAACCTCACGCGGCGCCCGGGGCCCGCCCCGCACGGGCGCGCATCGAAAAGTTTAGATCCACCCCAAAGGCAAAGTTTAGGCACCAGGCGAACAAAGTCTATATAAACTCCATATAAGTTTGATCTAAATTCTGCCGAAGCAGAAAGTCTCGCGCAGGGGGGGGGGGGGAGTTCATGCAAGCAGGAACGCGTGCTTCTATAAACGCCAAAAAACTTTAGATTGGACCAGTAGCCAGTAGCCTCAAGAGAAACGCCCCCGATCTAAGCTTTTCAGCCGGCGGGGTCAGGAGGAGGCGACGGGGGCGGGCGCGGGAGCCCTCGGCTGGGCCAGCGGCGCTGCCGCGCGAGGGACAGCACCGCCGTCGCCTCAAACTGCAAGCCGCGGCCGTGGCACGCGCCGCCCTGGGAATGCCGGCGCGGGCGCGGCCGCGTCGAGCGGGCCCGGGGCGTCGCCGCGCGCGCGGGGCCCCCCTGCGGCAGCTGGCAATGGTCTCGCCGACAGGGCGCCTACACTTACGCTCATTCGCCGTAAATGCAAGACGGTGACATGTAAAATCCACACTTCTGGGGGCTGGGGTCGGTTTCCCACTGTTAAACGTCGACGGCGGGCGCCAATCGCGCCGGCACTTCCCAGCAAAGGAGGCGAGCCCTGGGAGCTGGCCCCGGATGGGCCCGCGCCGCCCGCCGCCCGCGCCCCAGCGGCGCAGCGGGAACGCCGCGACGCGCTCCACCGCCAGACCTGTTCCGATCTCAATTGCGCCGGTCACCTGGGCCAGCTGGAGCCTCGAGGCAGACGCCGCCGCGGCTCACAAAAACGAGACTCGCGCTGCTGCGCGGGCGGCTGCCTTGGGGGCGCCGCCGCGGAAGCCGTCGGCGTCCCGCGACGCGAGAACCACCCGGAGGCCGTCGAGCCACGCCCCCGCCTCGCGAACAGCTCCGGCCGCGTCGTGCCGGAAGCGGGCGGCGGCCAGCCCGACCCCTTCGAAGCCCCTGCGACGACGGCCTCGCCGACGTTGCAGCCTGCGGGGCCCGACAGCCAGCGGTGGAAAGCGAACGATCGACGCTGCCAGAAGGCCCCCTTGGACGGGTGCGTTTGGAGGCCCAACCACCTTCGACGGAAACAGCGACCAAGGTTCAGCTATAGTCCCGCTTGTCGGGGTGGGCCGGCGGCCGGGCACCGCTGCCAATTGCCCGCTACCCCCAGCCAGAGAAGCGCTTCTTCGCTGTTGCGGATGGCAGCCCAACGGCGCGGAGGCCGTGCCAGGGCCGGGCGACCTCACCGGAAGGCCGCGCGCGGTGCACCCACCGCCCCCGCGAGGTCGCTGCAAGAGTCTACCCCTTCCGCTGGGGCTTGCCCCCGCGGCCCTTGCCGCCGCTAGAGCCGCCCCTGTCTGCGCCCGCTGCCGCCCCGACACTTCCTCTCGTGCCTGGCGTGGCATGGAGAGCCGCACGCGCGGCAGACGCGCCGCCTCCCGGAGGGGCACCTCGAGTCTGGCGCGGCCAGGCGGCAGGCGCCGAAGCCCTTGGAGAAGTGGAAGCACACCTGCTTCTCTCGCTCCTCGCCCTGTCCGGCGGCTGGGCAAGCGGCCCCTCTGCTGCCCGCGGCGACTGCTGGTGCACGGCGGCGAGCGCTCCGGGCGGGCCCGTGGCGAGGCGGGTTGGCCGGTGCGCCAGTCTGACCAGGCGGCGTAGCGACCCCAACTGGCAGGCGCGACTGCGCTGGCGCCACCCAAAAGGATCCGCACGGCGAGCCGCTCTTCTGGGTCCAACGGGACGCCCTTGCCGCCTTTGGCCGCCGAAGCCGTTGCCGGGTTTGTGACATGGTCGTTCGAATAGTCCCTGTCGGCCGTCGCCACGTAGAGAAGGGCAGTCCACGGCATGGCCAGGCCCCAGTCCCTCGGCGCGGGTTTCCCGCGGGCCACATCCGAGCGCACTTAGCGGCGAAGGCGCTCGACGCGGTCACAGCGGAGCTTGTCGTCCGGCATGTAGACGAGGTGCCAAGCCTCTGGCTACAGCGCGCGCGTAGCCGTCGAGTGCGGCCCTGGCGACGATGCCGAGCATCAGGCAGGCCGTGGCGAAGACCCGCCACGCCGCCTGCCATTGCTCGACATTCGCTGGGCCTGGAAACTTGCGCCCCATCCACCCGCCCCCAAGCGGCAGAGGACACGCCCGGAACTTTATGTTCCGCCAGACCTTGCGGTCGAAGGGCCCGAAAACGCCGACATCGACGTAAGACGTGGAGTGGTGGAGCTCGCAAGTCCGGTAATCCAGCGAAGTGAGCTGTTCGAGCGGCGGCTGGTCCTCTGGCACCGGCTGTTCGCCGCCAGTGAGTGCGCTGAATTTCTACCTCCAGTTCATGTGGAACCACCCGCCAGAGGATTATCCGAAGCGTCGCCCTGGTTCAGCACCTCAGCCATTTTCACGAGGCGGCCCTTGGCTGCTGCGGCTGCTGGGGCAACCGCTGCGCCGTCGAGGCCGGCGGCGGCGCGAACGGGTCCACATCGATATAGCTATCCCACGCTGCCCGTCCGCCCTCGGCTGCGAGGGCAATCCAGCGCGCCAGGCGCCACAAGAGCCTGCAATGCATTATCTGAAATGGGTGGAACGCTGCGCCATTGAGCTTGGCGTACGTTCCCGCCGCAACGATCGTATCAGCCGGAATGAGTGCGACGTTGCGGATGTTGCTCCCTAGATGGCGCACGATTTCCTCGAAGGCCTTGAAAGCGTCGATGTTGAGGTCGGCCCATGTGACCAGCTCGCTGTTGCGTGTCCATGCCATGGCCCCAGATGGATCAGCGCCATCGCACTTGCATCCCACTTGGCAAGACCGCGATGGAGTGGAAAAGAAAAGAAGTTGAGAGAGGAAGAGCTGGAGGGCTGTGTCCGGGCGCAGCTAGGGCCACAATGGCCACGGCGCCCGGAACATGACACGCGAAGTACCCCCCGCCCTCCATGGATGAGACCCTTGGTAAATTCCAGGTTCTTCAATTACCCCGAAAATTTCGCCGCCACCAGCACGACATCCACCACCGTCCTCGACAACATCGCCGTCACTCAACACCGCCTGCCTCCCCATCACCCCTACCACTCCTACTCCCCAGGTTCCTCATCCCCTTCCTCCTCCTCCTCCTCCTCTTCTTCCTCCCCTTTCTTCCCCCATCGTCCTTCTCTTCTCTTTAATGAGTATGACTTTTAGTAATACTAGAACTACTAGCACCAGTACTAGTATATGATTAAGATGAATAGTACTGGCATTGCTCGTATCATTTCTATGATTGATAGTATCCCCAGTATTATTCGTAGTAGTCGTATTAGAATTAGTGTGGGTTGTGTTCGTAGCACTACGACTGCCATTGTCATTGATGCCCATACAGCTGCTATCATATTATAATAATAGCTGTAGTCAAATGAATATTAATATTCGTTGGTATCCGTATTGATAGCACGCACAACATGATTAGTGCGATTCGTATCATGATTGGTCGTCGTATTGTTATCAGAACTACTCGTAGAATCAATGCTGGCATTAGTCATTCTAGTATTGATGTGATCCGTACCACTAATATTATTCAAAGAGCATGATGACTGCGGATATTGGTATAAATATCATCACTAATACGATGATTAGTAGTAGTAGTACACATAGTCCTAGTAGTAATACTATTACCAATCGTCTTGCCTATAGTATTAGAATTGGAAGTACGAGCATTGCTATGCATCTTCTCAGCGATATCACTAGAAGTATGATTGGCGTTCGTATGAATATCTTTACGATTAGCAATCTTATCTTTAGTTCTGGAATATATAATGAATATTGCGATGGTGACTACGACCTGCAATATAATCATCATGAATCTCACTAGTATGACACATTAGTATTCTCAATAGAACGACTACGATCAGCCATATAACCATTACGAGTATCACTATAAGTAGTAGTAGGATTATGATCATCACTCCTGCTCCTTAGCCTTCCCCTTCACCTCCTCCTCCTCCAACTCCTCCTCCTCCTCGTCCTCCTCCCCCTGGGGGCACCAACAGGCTACGATATCCCTACTCGCCTGACCTCTCTCTGGGTACATGCTGACTTGAACTTCGGGGCGACTCCCAAAGTCCTAAAAAGACGAAAACGATGCAATGGTAGTGGTAGCAGTACCTGCTCCTTTTCCTCCTCCTTCTCCTCTTCTTCTTCTTCTTACTCCTCCTCCTCCTCCTCGTCCTCCTCCTCCTCCTCATCCTCCTCGTCCTCCTCCTGTCCCTGCTCCTGCTCCTGCTGCTCCTTCTCCTGCTGGTGCTGCTCCCCCTCCTCCTCCTCCTCCTCCTCCTCCTCCTCCACCTCCTCCTCCTCATCCTCCCCATCACCAATAACAACAACACCACCATCATCAGCATCCTCATCATCATCATCATCATCATCATCATCATCATCATCATCAGCATCAGCATCAGCATCAGCATCATCATCAGCATCATCATCATCATCATCAGCAGCAGCATCGCCCTCAGCTGCAACATCATCGTAATCAGCATCATCATCAGCATCAGCATCATCATCATCATCATCAGCATCAGCATCCGCATCATCCACGTCATCAGCATCAGCAGCAACATCCTAAACAACCACCATCAGCATCCGCATCAGCATCAGCATCAGCATCGTCATCATCATCAGCATCACCATCGTCATGATCATCAGCAGCCACATCATCATCATCATCATCATCATCATCATCATCATCAGCATCATCATCATCAGCATCATCATCATCAACGTCATCAGCATCAGCAGCAGCATCAGCAGCAGCATTATAACCAGCATCAGCGCCAGCATCAGCATCAGCATAATCAGCACCATCATCAGCAGGAGCAGCATCACCATCGTCATGACCATCAGCAGCACCATCTGCATCGAAATTATCTCCATCATCAGCATTATCGTCGTCATCATCATCATCAGCAGCATCATCAGTAGCATCAGCATCAGCAGCATCAGCAGCATCAGCATCAGCAGACATCATCAGCCGCATCAGCATCAGGAACAGCAGCATCACCATCATCGTCATCATCAGTAGCAGCATCAGCAGCATCAGCATCATCACCACCACCACCACCACCACCATCATCATCATCATCATCATCATCATCATCGTCACTGTCATCGGCAGCACAATCAGCATCACCAACATCAGCCTCATCATCAGTCTCATCCTCATCAGCAGCATCAGCGTCAGCATCAGCAGCAGCCGCATAATTATCATTATCAGCATCATCATCATCGTCAGCATCATCAACATAATCATCACCACCATCATCAGCATCGTCATCATCATCATCATCATCATCATCATCATCACCACCACCACAATCATCATCAGCATCATCATCATCATCATCACCATCATCACCATCACCATCAGCATCAGCAGCAGCATCATCACCGTGATCAGCACCACACTCATCATCCTCATCAGCATCAGCAGCAGCATCGTCATCATCATCAGCATCATCAGCATCAGCATCAGCATCATCGTCAGCAGCACCATCGGAATCAGCATCGTCATCAGCATCATCGTCCTCATCATCATCACCACAATTAGCATCATCAGAATCATCATCATCAGCATCACCATCATCATCATCATCATCATCAGCAGCATCATCATCAGCATCATCATCATCATCATCATCATCATCATCATCATCAACATCATCATCAACATCATCATCACCATCATCCTGCTGCTGCTGCTGCTGCTGGTGCTGCTCATGCTCCTCTTCCTGGTGTTCCTCCTCCTCCTCCTCATCTTGCTCCTCATCCGGCTCCTCATCCTGCTCCTCCTCCTCATCCTCCTCCTCTTCCTCCTCGTCCTCGACCTCCTAGTCCTCCTCCTCTTGCACTCGTTTCCCTTATGAAAAATGTTTCCCTGTCGCACCCCGAAGCGAGTTTTTAGAGCGGTCCAGGCGTTTCGCCTGGGTTTTCCTAACAATTTATGACCCTGAAGTTTAAACATGACACCAGTTTCACAGATGGAGGGCGGGTGGTTTTCGAAATGTGGCTCTCGCCGTAGCGCCGCGCACACTCGCTTAACAAAAACTAAAGGAGTTTCACGAATTGTGGGCGATCCTTTCCAAAATGTGGCTCTCGCCTTAGCGCCGCGCACATTCGGTTTTAAGAATTGCACTTGTTTCACGCATTGAGGGCGGTTCCTTCCCAAAATGTGGTTCTCGCCTTGGCGCCGCGCAAACTCGCTTTCAAAAAAAATGCAAGAGTTTCACGGATTGAAGGCGGCTCCTTTTCAACTGGTGGCTCTCGCCTTAGCGTCGCGCATACTCGTTCAAACATTTGCAAGGGTTTCACGGATTCCCATGATCAGCGTACCAGAAATGTTTTCGGAAGGATTCCGGATTATGAGGATGCAACGGTTACACTGATTCGCAGTGTTGAAGTCCCAGGAATGGCGTTCTGGCGCGATTCGGGCTCGTCAAGACGCAACAGCCAGGTTGATCCGTAGCGTTTGAATCCGGAGAAAGATGTGTTAGCATGCATCAGAATCTTCATACGGT